ACAGGTCACGGCGGGAGGGCCCCCTCGCGTCGCGACAGGTCACGTCGCGACAGGGCCCCTGCGATCCGTCCTCCCCGCGGGCCCCCTCGCGTCGCGACAGGTCGCGGCGGGAGGGTCGTGATCACCCTCGGGCTCCTGGGGGGCCCTCGCCGTGCCCCCCAACAGCTCGGGATCTCGACGCGCCCACGGGGGGCACCCCCGGGTGGCCTCCGAGTGTGTTCCTGATGTGCCAAAAGGGGGGGCCCCCAACAAGCCACGCAGGAGAATCCCACGGGCGCCGACGCAGGCATTCGAGCAGTCACCCAGAGGTCGCTGAAGAAGCCTGAGGCGTCCCTACACGGCCCGACGTACAATCCCAGATGGACGCCCCTCCTGATAATCCACCAGCCCTCTGGGCGTAGATGGTTTAGAGCGTTTCCTCTTCCACCCCTCCCTCTTCCCAGGGGTTTACCCCTCCCCCTTCCCCCCTCCCCTGGACCTGGAGGGGGCGTCTCGCGAGGGGTTGGAGCGTCCAGGATGGCCCAAGATGACTCCAACTGGGCCTCAGAGAGCCCAAGATGACCTCCAAGACGGCTCAAGATCGCCCAAGATGGCTCACGATGGTTTCAAAATGCTCCGAGAGACCCCAAGACCGCTCCAAGACGGCTCCAAGTGGCCACAGAACCTCCGCAGAAGGCCGCCAAGAGGCCCAAATGCTTCAAACATCGTAGGGGAATCAATGAATTGTGCCTTCTCGCCTTTATGCTTTCGATGGCCTTCAGGGGCCTCAAGATGGTTCCAAGAGGGCCCCAATATAGACCCAAGAGAGCCCCAAGACGGCTCCAAGAGCGCCCACGGCCGCTCCAATAACGCCCCAAGAGCGGCCCAAGAGGCGAACTTAGGCGCTCCCGAAGGGGGGCCCTAATTGAAGCCCCCCCCCTTCTTCGATCGATCTCCTCCAAGATGGCCCCAAGAGTGCCTCTGCGGCTCCCAAGAGTGGCTAAAAGAAGGCCCCAAGAGGCGCCTTGGAGGCCCCAAGAGGCGCCCAAGAGGCTTCCAAGAGGCTCCCAAGAGACCCCAAAGAGGCCCCAATAGGCTCGCCGAGGCACCCAATAACCTCAAAGACGCATCCGGGGCCGCCAAGGGGCCTCCAGGACGCTCCAAGAGGCCCAAGAGTGTCCCAAGACGGCCCCGAGATCGTTCGAAAGTGTTCCAAGGGCGCTCCACAAGGAACCCTTCCTCTGCGTGCTGCCCACTTCCGTAATCGAGGCGCATTCGCTAGCCGTCCCGTCTTGATCATAACCCGTTATCCTTATCCTGATCCTCATCCTGATCCTCCTCCTCCTCCTCCTCCTCTTCCTCCTCCTCCTCCTCCTCCTCCTTCTCCCGATTCGAAATTCTAAAATCATCCTGGGCATGTCGATTCGGGTATTCCCGGTGAGGCTCTGGGAATATCAATCGTGAGGTGAGGGACGCCCGCTTGGGATTGTAGGGTCATGTTGTGGCTCCCTGGGCGGCCTCATACCTCTCTTCTTCCTACTCCTCTACCTCCGTCTGGCTTCCTCCATCCTTTCCATCTGGTCACTCGATTTTCTGTTCATATCAAGTCGAACGATGATCCGGATTGTCCTGGGGGCTACATTCTTGACGCGTCGCGTAACCCCACCAGCCCATCCGGAGACGATGAGGCGCCCGAACCGACCCCCAAGCAGCTTCCCCGCGGCCGCCCAAGAAGGCACACGTACTTCATACCAGGTGTCCTTCCGATGCCCGTGGCGTAATCCGAACGCCAAGTATGACAACGCAAAGCGATTCTCGAAACGTTCCCCAGTCACCGTTCTCGCATTGGGCTCGTATCCGCTGTGTGCCGCCGACCTGCGCGGCGCCGTAGCCCGTACATGACGGGTGTGTTTTTGCGCGCGGGTGTCGTTGCGCCCCCGTTCTTCCGGGGACTCGTCGTCGCCGCGACTGGGCTCCTCCCTTTGCACATTTGAGCGTTGCTTTTGGCTGCGTTTTTTTCATCGACTTCAGTCGTGTCTGCGTTAATTTACCGTGGAAGCCCATGCACAGAAACACTCTCCTTGCCTCCAGGACTCCAGGGTGCGCTGGGTTTCTTGGGCTTCGATGGCTCCGCTGTGGAGAGCGCGGCGTTCCCTAGCCGACGACAACGGGACGTCCTGGGGTCTCAGAGTTGGATTTGTTTGTGGCAAGTTTCCCGCGGTCGGGCACCCAGCGCATCGTTCATCCGCCCGCCGCCACGTGCGTTTGGTCCAGTTTCGTGCGCCTTCTCAAGGGAGCAGGCGCCAGACCGAGTTCGAGGCGACGATCGCGCGTCGGCTGCTGGAGGGAAAAGGGGGCGCGCCCGCGGTCCGCGCGCGCGCTGCCGCCGCGCCGGCCTGCAACGTCGGAAGGGGGGCACCTCCCGTGCAGGACCCCGGCAACAGGAGTCACTCCAAGCTAGGAGAAGATGAAGGAGATGCATCGCGTGCGCCATGCTGTTTTGCGGATTTGCGGATTGCGCAGACCATCTGTCAAACAAACAAAAAACGCGTTATCCGCCGAGGAGGGGGGGGGGGGGCGCGGCGCCTTTTGCGTTGGCCCGGATAACAGTGCCCATGGCAGCCGCACTTCTTCTAACGGCAGTGGGAGTTTAGTTCCAGACGAGTCTGACGGGCGCTGCGGGCAGCACTCTCCGAGGGGCGCATTTCGTCCAGCATCGTCGAAGTTCTTGCGCCCGAGAAAGATGGCAGCGACGTGGATTGGAACATCGGCAAGTGAACGACGATCCCTGCGGCGGCATTGCCGCGGGTCGCAGACCTCATCAACTTCCCCGCCCATGCCAGGAGCGCCCTGCAAGGACGGGGCCGAGACTATGTCGTTCAAAGAGCGAGAGGATGACCATGCGACCGCGCGCCCTGGCGACGCATGGACAAACCTAGGGGCGTGCGCCACCGCGCGTGGGGACGACCCCCAGGGGAATGCCGACCGCAGTTGGATATCTTAATCCAAACGTCCAAGACATCCAACAAAAAAAGAGAAAGGAGGGGGCCACGCCGATGTCGCCATTGGCGATGCGCACGAATCCCCATCGCACGCGAGAGAAGATAACGACGCGGAGGTCGAATGTCGGGCTTTTGGCCGTGGTCGCGAAGATACGCTTGCGAATTAGGCGACCTTGGCCAGGCCTCCGTCGTTGACGGCGCGATGGGCAGTTGCTCTCAGGGCCCCGCGGCTGCCGCGGCCACGTCGGCCCCGGCTCGGCGCCGCGCGCCCTGGAGAGCTAGCTGCAGCGCGGGTCTACGTTCCAGCGTAAATTCAACGAGCTGTTGTCGCGAAGGAGGACGACCTGGTTGCCGAGCATGACATCCAGAGTCATCCGGAGCAGGCATCGCGCGCCCTTCTGGTCGAACTGAAAGTATGGCTAGGTAACGGATGCTTTACTAAGGAACTCTCGTTGAAGGCCCAAAATGTCATGACCTCTCGGCGCTCGGCTCGCGCGCGCGCGGGAGTTCGCGGAAACCGATTCCGGCGAGACTGCAACAATTATCCGGTTCGGATCATCATTAAGAGGCGTCGTGGACCAAGAGGCTTTCTCCGTAGAGACCTCCCCCGGCGCGACCTGGCGCGCCCAGCGGCACAAGCTGGCCGACGAGGCGGCCCGTCGCGGGGACTGGGTCTTCGTCGGCCTGGGCGAGGACGAAGCGCCCCCCGAGGGCCCAACCGCAGAAACAGCAGAAGCGACTGGGAAACAGGAGCGCATTGTTTGCTTTGCTCTACCTCCTGGAATTGCTTCTGTCCCGCGCGCGCTATCTGGGCTTGCAGGCCATGGTGAGTCTTGGCGCCGTCTCATAAGTCTGCGACCGCGCGCCAGCACGAAGGGCGCCGCGCGGGCCTTCGCCTCCCTCGAGTTCGAAAGGGCCGCAAAGCGAAGTGGTCTCAAGTCAATGTCAGTGTCCAGAACTTGAAGCTCCACCCCATCTGTCACGTAGATGACATGAACGCGCGTGGTCAGAACCGCAATCATTCACGTTCACAGACTAGAGCAAGTGTTTGGGAAGTGCAAGCTCAATGAGGACGCATGCAAGAGCAGCGCAGCAAGGTGCGCGAAGATGGAGCGCGGCGACGCCACCATGGCTCAACGCGGCCACGCAAAACAACTCCGCCCAATTGCGCACGCCGAGTGTGCCGGAGCGTCGCCAGATGCGACGGCTAGCAAGATTGTCGGCGACATATTCGTCAAACTTCGAGGTGCATTTGCTTGCTCCGCTCTCGTTCTATTCTGGGCCATGGCGAACGCGTTCGAACGCCCGCCGAACCTCTTGGTGGGGAGCCTTAGCGCCCTTGCCCGCAAACTATCGCAGCGGCCTAAGAAGGCCACCTACCGCGCGATGACGCTAGACGGCAAGGTGGACCTGCGCAGCGACTCGGGCTACCGCATGCCCACCGCAGAGGAGGGCGATTCCGCGGAAAGCCGCGGTCTTCGTGGGCGCGACTTGCTGCGCCGTGGAATCGCGAGCAGCGTGGCGGAAGTCATCCACTGCGTTGATGGCCCGTGCATTTCCCATCACCTCCACGTTCGGCCCAGTGACGCCGCCGAGGCTCATGCAGCTGCCCGCGGCGCGAATGAGTTCAATCCCACGATAGTGATGCAACGTGCGCTCATGGAGGGGCCACTGGCCCCCTCTGGGCCCAGGCATCTTCGTGCACGGGGTGGGGTCTGTATCGAGGTGGCCCTGGCGACAAATGCCGGATCCAATAATGCGTCTCTGTCCAGCAATGACCCAACGCAGCCGTTGAAACGACGCTGCTTGGCCATCTCAGTTGGCTGAGAGAACATTTACAACTCGGCGTGGCAAATGACGCGGAGTTGCGCGTCATTCGGGAATCGGCGGCGACTGGGCGCAGCGAGGGTTCCATCGAACGAGACTTGCGCTTGCAGGTCGTAGATGGGCATCATAGTGCAGTCGCGAAGTCAAGTCATGAGCACCCTCTCGCGGCAATGCTCCCATCGCCAGCGCGCGATGCCGCAGGTGTTCAAGCGCCTTGTGCTCAAACGCCTCGATGAGTCCACAGTCCACGAGGTCTGGGGATTTGCCCAGCTGCGGCCGCCAGTTGCACAGGGGGGGCCTCTTTCTGGCCCCACTCGGAGCTTTTGTACAACCGCGACTGCGCGAGCGCGTGCCCGCGCTCTTCTTGCTTGTATTTTGTCGTGGAACCGCGCCTGCCTGGGAGTGAGCGAGCGACCGCGCTCCTTCAGCCAGCCTCCTGTTGGGGATTCACGCCCCTGCTTAGCTTTAGCGGCGCGGGCGCGCAGCGCCAACGATCTTTTGGCCCGGTGCGAGATCAGCCCGAAAGGGCGTCTTTCAGAGCTTTTTGGGCCGCCGATCGGCCTGCCAAGCACGAGCTGTCTTCGCTGTCTTTGTTTACCGCCGCCGCGTTACATTTTGGTGCAGTTTTGGCTGGGCCATGGCGACATGACCGAGCATGTGCCGCCCCCGTCTTTTTTTTTATTTGTCCCTTTGCAACTGCGGTGCTCGAGCCTGTCGTATACCAAATATCTCAGTCGCTGCCTTGGGCCGAACACATGGACTGCGGCGGCCAGGTTTCGTTATCCCCTTTCGAATTTTAGGGGTCGCAAGGCGGGGATCTTGCATGCTTGCCTATCCGCCGCTGTCCCGGTTCAATGCAGTGCCGCTTATGTGCCAGTGCTGGCGGGCTGCCAGCACTCCATCTGCAGCGTCGGGGGTGACAAAGTCCTTTGCCATTCCCCGTCGCTGTCCCTTTTCCGGACCGCGGTCATTCGCATGGCATCAGACATGGCGTTGCTTTCCAGCTCCGATTTCTTTGGTCCGAAAGAAGCATGCGAGAAGAAGCGGGGAGCCTTGCCAACTTCGAAAACGTGGGGTCCTGGCCCCTAAGAGTCTTCAGGAGCGAGGGTTGACCCCGAAGGATTTGTAGGATTGCCCACTTCGTTCCCAGAGGCGCGATGGGTGATCCCGAAGGAGTTGAAAGCAGTCGGCCGCGGGCAGACGAAAGACGAGCTGAGACGGCTGTGGACTGAGGTTCGCCTGCAGGCAATCGCACTGACTCCAGGACAGTTGGAACAATGGGCTTCGCGTGGGCCCACCAGCCCGTGCAACAATATACGCGTGGGGTTGATGGGAAAAGAAACGAATAGACACATATAGTGAAACGGGCGCGGCGGATCCATGGAGAACGGGAGAGAGGGGAGGAGGAGGAGGAGGACCAGGAGGAGGAGACGGTGGAGGAAGAGGAAGAGGAGGAGGAAGAGGATGAGGAGGAAGAGGAGGAAGAGGATGAGGATGAGGAGGAGGAAAAGGAAGAGGAGAAGGAGGAGGAGGAGGAGGAAGAGGAGGAGGAAGCAAACGGCCCTTTGGGATGTTCTTGGGGCGTTCCTGGGCGCTCTTGGGGCCGTCCTGGGGGCCTCAGTGGGGTGCCCTTGAGAGCCCCTTGAGATCATCTTGAGGCCATGTTGACGGCGATCGATCAAAGGAGAGGGAGTTTCCGATGCCCGTCCAGCCTCTGGAGCCACCAGCATCGTTTCTTAAGGCGCTGTTTGGCCGCTCTTGGGCGCTCTTGGGGCCATCTTGAGGCCTCAAACGCACATCGGAAGCGAACGTGCGAAACGGCACACATCTTTTTTGGGGGGGGCGGGGGTTTTTGGCCTCTTGCCGGGGTCCTGATGGGGGCTCTGAGAGCGCTTGTAACCGTCTTGTGGCTATCGTCGGGCCTCGTAGAGGTATGTCGGGAGCTATATTGCATCATGTTCGGCTATCGGGAGCCGCCTTGGAGGGGCTCTTGAAACGATCTTGTGCGAAAATCGACCCCCGAACATTCCGCGGACCCCCCCGAAAAAGAATCGGGGATGGGGAGGGGGAGGGCCCCCCCCGAAGGGAAGAGGGTTCTGGAAGAGGAAGTGGGGAAAACTAGCTAAATTTGCTCAGCCCAAAGGGCTGGTGGGATTTATTAGGAACGGGGGTGGAGGAGTTGGGAGGAGGAGGAGGAATGAGGAGGAGGAGGAAGAGGAGGAGGAGGAGGAGGAGGAGGAGAAAGATGAGGAGGAGGAGGACCTGTGTAAACGCAAGACTCATCAACGATGTTGGCGTAAACTCTCCTTCCAAGCTCCCTCTTCATAGGCCCCTACAACGGTACATTTCCACAGGGATCTGCCTCGTTGCAGGACAACCCGTTTGAATACCCTGAAGCATGCCAAACAACTATTCTGTTGTGCCTTGACGCATGAATCGTGCCAGGATGCCGCGAATGAGCGTAACTGTTGCGCCCTCATAATCCATAATCCTTCCAAAGCACGATTTCTGGTGCTTTGTCCATGGGCATCCGTGAAATTCTTGCAGCTGTTAAAGACGAGTGTGCGCGGCGCCATGGCGAGAGCCACATTTTCAAAAGGAGCCGCTTTCAATACGTGAAACTCCTGCAACTGTTTCAGCGAATGTGCGCGGCGCTATGGCGATAGCCACATTTTGAAAACCACCCGCTTTCAATCCGTGAAACATTTGCAAAGTTCCAGACACGAATGTGCGCGGCGCTAAAGCGAGAGCCACACTTTGAAAACCACCCGCCCTCAACCTGTGAATCTCTTGCACAGTTTTCAAAACGAATGTACGCGTAGCTAAGGCGAGAGCCACATTTTGAAACCACCCGCCCACGATCTGCGAAGCTGCTGTGAACTTTCAAGCTTCAGCTTCATAAGTGGTGAGAAAGTCTCAGGCGAACCGCCCAGCGCGCCCTAAATACTGACCTCGGGGTGCGACAGGGAGAATGCTTTATACGGAGCAGGAATGGGGGAGGAGGAGGAGGAGGAGGAGGAGGAGGAGGAGGAGGAGGAGGAGGAGGAGGAGGAGGAGAAGCAGCGGCAGGAGGAGGAGAAGGAGGAGGAGGAGAAGCAGGAAACGCAGGAGGAGGAGCAGGAGGCCGTCCCCGCCCCTTCTCCTCCGCATCCTCCTCAGGTCCTCTCTCCCTGTCCGCCCTCCGTCCCCTCTTGGCTCCGCCTTCCTCGTCCTCCTCTTGGCTCCCGCTTCCTCTCCCCATTCCCCCACCCCCTCTCCCCTCCTCCTGGAGGAGGGAGGGTTCCCTGGAGGAGGGAGGGGCCCCTGGAGGGGTCCAGGGCCCCACCCCCCTCCTGGAGGAGGGAGGGGCCCCTTTGGAGGGGTCCAGGCGCCGGCGCCCAAGACGAAGCACGCGGGGCGCGGCCAGATCGTGCTCCAGGCGGCCCAGGCCGCCGCGCCCTCGCGCGCGCGGGGCCTGGTGGTGATGATGATGAGCCCCTTCGCTTGCGGACAAGAGTCAGGAGGGAAAGAAACACACAGACACAATTAATCGTCGACCCCCCAGAAAATATGGAAAATATGGGAAATGGGGGGTAAGACAGAAACCTCGAAAATATGGGGAAATATGGGGAATCTGGTTATTTGTGTCCATTTATTTGTGTGTCCCAGTTCCCCTTCAAAGAGTGAGCTGGCGGCGGGGTCGTTGGCAGCCTGCGAGGCTTCGAAGAAACTCGCCGCGGGCGCCGATCTTTACCAAATGCACATCGGGCCTGCCGCAGGCGCCGAATCTTCGTCGAAGCTATGCGGGTGGGTCGCGGGCGGGTCGCGTGCGGGTCGCTGGTGCGTCGCGGGGTGGGTCGCGGGGTGGGTCGCGGGTGGGTCGCGGGTGGGTCGTTGGCGAGGACGACGGCAAACAGCAACAACAACAGCAGCCACAACAACAACAATCATTTTAAGGCTGTTCGCTCTTACTGGCACGCGTGTCTTGCATTCCGTATACTCCAGCCCTCGATACCCGCCCACTTCGTCTTCGATTGCACCTCTTTTCGGGAGGAATTTGTTCGATGTTGGCCACTAGCTGAAGTACTAAGAAGTCTCGAGCGAGAGTGCCGTTCCTGAGTTCGGGGTCCTCTCTGGCCAGGGGACGGAGTACCTATGAAGAACTATCGAACGGGAACCCTTGTCGCCGTGTCAGGGCCTCTTCCAATTTGCCTGAGTTATGAGAAAATCACGAGCGAGAGCGCCGTTCCTGAGTTCGGGGGCCTTCTTGGCCAGGGGCTCTCGGAGTAAATCTTGAGGAAGTATCGAGCGGAAGCCGTTGTCGTCGTAGCTGGGCATCCAAGGGCCCACATTTAGGCTCAAGCTAACGCTCGAGCGGGAGCCTTGTGTTCAGAGAAAATGTAGCCGGCGTCGAGGCGAGAGCGCGCGGATCCGTTTCCGGAGACAAGCAATTACTATTCTCTAGAAATGAGTATTCAACAACAACAACAGATAACAGACAGCAGACACCATACAACAAACAACAAACAAGAAACAACAACAACCACAACAACAACAGCAATCTTTTTTTATATAGTTCGCTCCTGTCTGCTCACGTGCCAATCAATACGTATATCCATAACCCTCGGTACCCGTCCTCGTCGTCTTCGATTGTACCCTCTTTGGGGTATATCTTCCTTACATGCCACGTGCATGTAGTGCAGCCCCTAAAACGAGGCAGGAAAAGGCGGGTGGAAAGAGGGAGGGATAAAAATGGAACACGACAGAACTTAGCAGGAGGGGGGCAAGGAACAGAAAACAAGTGGTAGAACCAGACGGGCGGATTGGGCGGGCAGACCCATAGCGGTCGGGTCGGGCAGGCGGGCCCAGGCGACCAGGTCGAGCAGGCGGTTTGCTGAAGCGTGCGTTCTGCATGAATCGCGAGCAAGTCTCGAGCCGTAGCGCGATCCCCAAGTAACTCATGGGAATATCAAAAAAACCGAGAGCGCGATTCCTGAGCGCCGAGGGCGCATCGTTTGAATAAACTGCGAGGAGGTCCCACACGAGAGCTCAATTCGTATACATATTGTGAGGGAGTCCCGCGCGAGAGCGCGATTTGTGAATACATTGTGAGGAAGTATCACGCGGGAACCGCTGCTGTTGTAAACCGGGGGCCAATACCCCAGTTTGAGCCCCGTGGCTTTTCCTGATAGAAACTGGGTGCCAGCCTCGGGGGAAGCACTCTACTTGAACAAGTACAATGGTCGACGGAGGGGGGATCAACAATATTTATTCTTCAGTAGTGAGAATTCAACAACAACGACAACAGCAGCAGCAACAACAATCATCATCACAACAACAACGACGACGACGATAACGACAACGACAACAACATCAACAATCATTTTCAGACTGTTCGCTCCTATCCGCTCGCGTGCCAACCAACACGTTAATCCAAACCTTCGGCATCCGCCCTTTTCGTTTTCGATCGTGCCCCCCCTTAGGAGATAGATCTTCCTTCGCCTGCCGCGTGCGTACAGCGCAGCCCCTAGAACAGCGGAAGTGAGGACGCATGGAAGGGGGAGGGAGAAGCCAGGGCTCGAGCTAAACGGTGTTTTGGCAATTTCGTGGACCGTTTTCGTTTTGACTTCGTTTTGCAGCAAATGTGGATCGAAGACAGAACTAGGGATGACGAAAACAAAACGAACACGGAAAACACTGTTTAGCTCGAGCCCTGGGAGAAGCATGGAACATGAGAACACTAACCCGAGAGTGGGCTAGGATCCGAACACACTTGGTAGAACCGGACGGGCAGATTGGGCGGGCAGACCCTAGCGGGCGGGTCGGGCAGGCGGGCCCAGGCGGCCAGTTCGAGCAGGCGGTTTGCTGAAGCGTGAGTTCTGCATGAATCGCATGGAAGTCTCGAGCCGTAGCGCGATTCCCAAGTCAACCGCAAGACAAGCCAAAACGAGAGCGCGATTCCTGAGTGACGGGGGCGCGGCGTTTGAATCAATTGCGGTGAGGTCCCACGCGGGAGCGCGATTCTTGGTAAAATGTTGCGAGGAACTCCCGCGCGGGAGCTGGGTTCTGGAATGCACTGTGAGGAAGTGTCCGGTGGGAGCCGGGCCCAATCTCAAGTTCAAGGTTTTCCCTTATTAGATGCAGGGTGCGAGCCCCGGGAGGTGCACGGCTCCCTTATCAATTTCCCTTATTAAAGGCATCTTAAGTTGAAAGCACAAGTTGCACCGCACAGGGGGCATCACCAAGACATTCTTTGGAAAGTGGATTCGACAACAACGACGAGCAGGATCCGCGCTGCGGAACTCCACTTCAGCCACGCACGCAGGGGCAGTGAATGACCGTTCGGCCCCCTCATCTTGATGATGTGCAACGAACATGATCTGGGTCTGGGGTGGATCGCAGGTCGAGGTGGGTCGCGGGTGGGTCGCGAGTGGGTCGTGGGGTGAGTCGCGGGTGCGACGACGGCAACAACGCAACGGAACGCAACGCAACAAGCAAAATCCGCGTCGCGGAGTCCCTTTTCAGACACGCGTCCAGGTATTGTGAATGACCGCTCGTCCCCCCCATTCGGATACTGATAGTAATAGTAACGATATCTAGGAGAGTGGGAGGGGATCGACCCCATCCCTGGGCCAGATGTTTTCAGCCACGCGCAGAGGGGGGTGGGGGGAGGGGGGAGGGCTTCTTAGAAGCACCCCTGCTTCTTAGAAGGCGCGGGCCTTCTCTATTGATGTAAGGCCGGCGCCTTCTAAGAAGCAGCCTCCTTCTAAGAAGCCTTCCCCCCTCCATCCACCCCCTTTTGCGCACCGCCAATGTTTCTGGGTTGTTCTCCGACGGCCCTGGAGTTGTAAAACGGGCTCTCGAGGCCAGCCGCGGCGCCCGGATTCGGTGGCAGGGCGAGGGCCAGGGCGCGGCAGCAACACGAGGATTACCAGTTTGAAACATATCCCTATCCCCATGTTTGACATCACCTCACCTCGATGCCGATCTTGAGGATTCCCTCAGTTTCTGGGGGCCTATCCCTAAGATTGTCCTGGCTTTTCGCTCGCCCATCTTGGGGATAGGGGATACGTTCGAGGCTGGTTAGAGGAGCCTGGGCGGCGGGAGAGAGAGCGGTCCGCAGCGGAAGCGGGCAAGCGGGAGCAGCCTTAGTGGGCGCGGTCGGCGCCCGACCCTGGATTCTTGACCGTCGATCCTCCATCAGCCTCTTCTTCGTGCAGGTCCTCCTCCTCCTCCTCCTCCTCCTACTCCTCCTCCTCCTCCTCCTCTCCATCGATTCTTCTCGCTTCGCGGGGTGCGCGTCCGGAGCACGTACAGTCCAGTCGTTATGGGGCCTCGTGGCAGCCTTCTGGGGGCCTCTTGGAAGCCCCTTGGGAACTCCTTGGGTCCTCCTTGGGGCCTCTTCGGGGCCTCTTGGGGTCCCTTGGGGACGTCTTGGGCCGTTTTGGGGCGCTCTTACGTCGTCTGGCGGCCTCTCGAGGCCATATTGGAGGCCTCTCGCGGCCGCCTTGCGGCTCTCTTGGGGTTCTCATGGACCTTCTTGGACATCTTTGGGGCCTTTTTTCGCCGTCCCGGGGCGCTCTTAGGTCGTCTTCGGGCCCCTTGGGGGCATCTGCCTTGGGGCCTTCTTGGAGGCTGCTTGGGCCGTCATGGCTTTCTGAGACCCGAAAAAGGGGAGAACCCTAAAATCAATCAACAACCAATGGAACATCAATGATTTTGGCCTCTGGAGGCGTTCTTGGGGATCCTCTTGGGACCTGTTGGGCCGTCAAGTCTTGGGGACCTCATGGGCCCTCTTTGGGCCATCTTGGGGCCAACTTGGGCCGTCTTGGGGACGTCTTGTCCCGTCTCGAGGCCCCAGGCTTCTGGGCGGCATCCTGGGATGCTCTTGGGAGCCTCTTGGAAGCCTCTTGGGGGCTTCTCGGGGCGTCTTCGGGGCCGCTTCGGGACCTTTCGGGCCTTTCGGGGCTTCTTGGGGACGTCTTGGGCCGTTTTGGGGCCTCTTACGTCGTTTGGCGGCCTCTCGAGGCCATATTGGAGGCCTCTCGCGGCCGCCTTGCGGCTCTCTTGGGGGCCCCTTGGACCGTATTGGGGGCCCTTTGGACCGTCTTGGGGGCCTCTTTTGCCCAGCTCGGGGCCCTCTTGGGCCATCTTGGGCCCCCTTGGGGGCCTTTGGGGACGCCTTGGGGACTTCTTGGAGGCTGCTGGGGCAGTCGTGGTCCTTGCAGAGCCGAATACGGCGAGAACGCGAAAAAGGCGAGAACGCGCAATTTTTGGCCTCTGGAGGCCCTCTCTGGGGTCCTCTTGGGGCCCTCTTGGGCCGTCTTGGGGGCCTGATGGGCCATCTTGGGCCGTCTTGGGGCTACCTTGGGCCATCTTGAGGCCCTCTTGGAGTCCCAAGAGGCCCAAGAGGCCGAATTGGCTGATGTTCCCTAAGTTTTGGTAGGTTTGAGGCCCCAGAATGAGGGCCTCCACATCTGGTACGGTGCTGTGGCGCGGCTCCTCTCCATCGATTCTTTGGCCTATGCCACACCGCCGACCCCTTGGGTGACTGACGGTTGTGGCGTGTTGCTCCTGAGGGCCTCTTGGGCGCCTTTTCTGGGGCTTCTTGGTGCCCTTGGGCGCTACCCAGATCATTCTGCACACGTCGAGGATACTCGTGGGGTGTGTCGAGGAACAGCAGGAATTCGTGAAGCCGCTAACGACTGGAATCCCCTCCCCGTCATGCAGGTGTCCGCGCCTGTCTGGTCGGTCCATTTCGGTTTCGGTTCCAGCCAGGCCGATCTGATTCGATGCCGACGTTCCGACGATCCGACGTGGCCCGAAGCGTGCACGGCGTTGCTGCGCATCCCGATCCGATGCGGCCCGGCTCGACACCTTTCGATCCGATCCGGTCCGATCCGACCGCTCCTGCCATTCGGGGAGCTGGGGCTTTGTGGGGCCCTCTCGGAGGCTTTTTGGGGCCGTCCTGGGGATCTAGGGGGCCTGTGGGGGCTTTGTCGGGCCACCTGGGGGGATCTTGGAGCCCAAAGCAGGACATGTCCATGCGGGTTCCCCCTCTGAGCCTCCTCTTGGGGCCGTCCTGGGGCCATCCAGGGACGTCTTGGGAGCTTGTGGGGCCATCTGGGAGCCTTCTCGGGGCCTCTTGGGACACCGCGGCCCCTGGCAGGGCCCGCGCGGCCCTCGCCAGCACGGTGCTCCCCGAGGCGTGTCCTGTTCCGCCCGAGGCGGCCAGAGGCCACATGTTGCATCTGATGGGCTTGTTTTCCACCACCACCATAACTTAGAAGGGGGAAAGAGGTGGAGGATGAGGAGGAGGAATAAGAATGCGGGAGGAGGACCCCCTCCCACCTCCAATCTATGGTGGTGGTGGTGGTGGTGGTGGTGGTGGTGGTGGTGGACAACAGGCCCATCAGCATCGAGCTGGTGAGATCAGAGGGTGCACGAACTGTTTTTTTGTGTTTTCCAGAGCGGGGGGGGAGGCCCCAGTTCTTCGTCGAGTGTGACCCCCGATCCCTCCAAGATTCCTCAGCTCAAGTGCTGTGGAGATGATTTCGTTTCGGGCCGACATCCAAAAGTCAGCCGAAAACGCCCCATCCCTATCCCCCCTCACAAGCTCCTTGTCACAGACCCAGCGTGTCAGTTGTTTGGGCTGCTATCATATGTACCTTAATAATAGTTTCTGAGGCCACTCGCTTGGTACTCGTGCTTTGCACTCCCAGGCTGTGGCGGTCATTGGCTCCCCCACCCTGGCTCCGTATGGCCTGGCCAGGTATCCCTGGCCAGGCGTGGTGCCCTGCCGCCCCGCCGCGCTGATGTGTTCGATCGTGCGTCTCCCGCCTTTTCCGCCCACTCTCGCGGGTCCGTGTCATCGACTTGGCGCGTCGCCTGATGTGCTCGCTGCCCTCCTCGATCCTCTCCCTCCTCGACGCTTCTCGACCCTCGACGCTCCTCGATCCCCGACCCTCGATCTGTGCCGTCTCTCCTCGACCCTCCTCCTCGACCCTCGATCCTCCTCCCCGATCCTCCTGGATCCTTCGGCCCTCCTCGACGCTGCTCCATCCTCGATCGTCCTTCTCGCTGTCTTCGGCCCTCCTCGACGCGCCTCGATCCTCAGACCCGTGCTGGGCGCCCGCCGGCGGCGCCAGGCCCCCGTGCGGGCCGTGCTCGCGCCGCCGCCGGCGGGCTGGAGCGCGCCGGCGGCTGCGGTGCGCGCCGCCCGGGACCTCGGCGGTGGCCCGCGGCGGCCTGCGGCGGCCTTCGGCGGGCCTCGGTGCCCTCGCCGGCTTCGTCGCCTGCGCTCGCCGCTGGGCTCCCCCCCCCGGCGGAGGAGGAGGAGGAGGAGGAGGAGGAGGAGGGAGGAGGAGGAGGAGGAGGAGGAGGGGAGGAGGAGGAGGAGGAGGAGAGGAGGAGGAGGAGGAGGAGGAGGAGGAGGCGGAGGAGGAGGAGGAGGAGGAGGGGACGAAAGAAGGAGGAGGAGGTGGAGGAGGAGGACGAGGAGGAGAGCGAAGGGTCTGTTTGCAATAGTCTGGTGCATGGGTTTGGACTGCTCAGGGTCTAGATTCATTGCTGATTGCTGGTCTTGGAGAGGGAGGAGGAGGGAATGGGGAATGAGGGGGAGGGACAGGACGGGGATAAGGGAGAAGGACTCTTCTCCAACCGACTTGCGGAATCAAGCTATACGGCTCAAACCATAGCTTCGTTATAGTTTCGCAGTCAGCGCGGATCTAAGATCTATATGTCCAGATATGTCTGGAGACCTTGGAAGTTTAAGCGCCAGTCGAGAGACAGCAGAAACGTGCTTCGGCCGCTAAAGAGAGAGGGTCCTCGTCCCCTTCGTCCTCGTCTTGATCTGCTTGTGTCTCCACGCGTCTTCGCCATCTCCTCCTCCTCCTCCTCATCCTCTTCGCACGTCCACTGTGGTATACTGCAGCACGCGTCCCGAGGCTCGTGAGGGAGAGGGGGGGGGGGGCCGTGGACCGCAACGGACGTCCAATGGAGTCGAGTCCTGACTGCACGACGGCGATGTCGACGGTCATGGCGGCGCGGCGACGACGAGGACGAGACAGTGAGTGAGTGTGTGAGAGCGAGAAAGAAGAAGAAGAAGAAGAAGAAGAAGAAGAAGAAGAAGAAGAAGAAGAAGAAGAAGAAGAAGAAGAATAAGAAGAATAACAATAATAAGAAAAAGAAGAATCAGAAGAAGAAGCAGAGAGAGCGAGAGAGAGCGAGAGAGCGAGAGAGAGCGAGAGAGAGCGAGAGAGAGCGAGAGAAGCATCTATCGAAGAAATAACGTCATAAACATACACTTTTGGCGCTCCGCGCGGATTTCTTGGATCCGCGCTGGGTCCCCCTGGCGGCGCCTCCAGCGCCGCCCCTGCGATCCGCGCGCCAGGGAGGGGCTTCTAGCCCAGATCCATGACATCCGCGCGGACCTCCAACAGTTTATGCTTATGTCTTTTTTTGCTCTCTCTCTCTCTCTCTCTCTCTCTCTAAGAGAGAGAGAGAGAGAGAGAGAGCGAGAGAGAGATATAGAGAGAGAAGCATATGCGTATTTCTGTTACCGCAGAGACGGCGATGACGGCCACGATTGACGGCGGCGGCGACGACGAGAACGAGAGAGAGAGAGGAGGACAACGATACATATCCATCTCGTTCCCCCCTCTGTCCCGTCCCAGAGGGAAGAACAAGTATCAGAGGTGGAGGGGGAGGGAGGGAGGAGGAAGGAAGTGGACCTGTATGACAGTTCGGTTCCTGGAGAGAGAGAGAAAGAGAGAGAGAGAGAGAGACACAGAGAGAGAGACAGAGAGAGAGAGAGAGAGAGAAAGAGAGAGAGAGAAGAAACATAACGAGAGAGAGACCCAGAACTATATATATAGAGAGAGAGAGAGAGAGAGAGAGAGAGAGAGAGAGAGAGAGGGAGAGAAGACCAACACATGCGGCGCGGAAATATACATATACAGTGGATAGCCATGCCAAGAAGCACCCTGCTTGCCTCCAGGGTGCCTGCGGTTTCTTGGGTTTCGATGGTTTTGCTGTGGAAGGCGCGACGTGCCCGCACCAAAAACCACTGGACGTCCTGGGGTCTCAGGGTTGGGTTTCTTGTGGAAGGTTTCTTGTGGTCGAGCTCGCACTGTGCGTGTGTGTAGAGAGAGAGAGAGAGAGAGAGAAGCAACAAAGAAGCATCTCCCTTGCGGGTTGTGCCCAGGAGCTGGCCCCGGCCCCGGCAGCCGCCGCGGCCTCTCGCGGTCCACTGGAGGCCAGGGCCGTCGGCCGGTTGACCGTGGCATTGTTGTTGCTGCCGCTTGTCTTGACGTGCCGTCTGTGGCAGCTTCCAGTTCCAGACCACAGACTTATCGCAGGATTGGTGAATCATCGCTTCCGCCCCCAGGTGGCATGCCGTTTTTGCATGGGCCAGCGCGCCTCGTTTCAGGTTGAGCCGCTTGGTGAACATTGCCGGTTGAGTGTCTGGTCGTCGCGGTCACTCAATGTGTGTTATGGGTGTGCCTGCCAATCCGCGCTTGACGGCCCCATACTCTTCGGTGAGCTTGATGTCAGGAGCCCCGCACCCATCCACAGTGTGCTGTGCATTTGGTAATGGCGGACGTGCTGGTTTGGATGTGCATCGGCATTCACGTGTTCGGGCGTTTCCTTTCACTACGTGATGTGGGGATTGCCTTGGCGCGTCTGGCGTCGAGCGCTCTGTCTAGTTGGTGGTCCAGTCAGTCGATGGTGCTTTTGGGTGTGCCGGCCTATCCGCGTGGGACGGCCCCCCCGCGCTCCAGCTTGACGGCAAGAACCGCGGCCCGCGGTGCTTGACGGCACGAGCCGTCTGCAATTTGCAGTGCACTTGGCCCGTGGAGGCTTATTGGTTACAAATTTCATTGAACCGGTTTTGCGCGTTCTGCCGCTTGAGTTCTGCGGTCTTGATCCTTCAATCTCTTGTGGGTTATCACAGCCAGGTTCGGGGAGGACCTTGTGTGATGCGTTGTGTTTCTTCAGAGTTCTGTCAAGTGACATACACTCGGAGGCCATGCCAGATCAACTTTCGCGCATCACGGCGCGAGGCTAGCGGGCGGCCGTGGGAGTTCCAGAGCTGCGCCTTGACACTCGACATCAACATGACGGTATTCTCTGAATCGTTGGCGTGTGAGCAGTTCCCAACCATCTTGTGGTGTTTGGTCTTCGTTTTGCAGAGACAGCGCCCTGCGTTCTCCTTCCGCCTCCTTCCTCCCGCCTCCTCCCCCTCCCGTCCCTGCCTCTGCCCTCCGCATGTCTGTGTTTCGGCGCACCCAGTGCAACGCTTCGAGGCCCCGTAGGAAGCTCCACCGAAGGCCCCAGTGGCAGGGTCCACATGGAGGCGCCGCCCCATTCTGGCGCACCCCTCACACGGTTCGTGGCCCCACAGGGAGCTCCACCGAAGGCCCCAGGGGCAGGGTTCACATGGCGTCGCCGCTCCATTCTGGCGCACCACTCACACGGTTCGTGGCCCCATAGGGGGCTCCACCGAAAGCAGCGCCACAACACGGTATTTACATTTGCTTATGGTTGGGTCATTCGCCCAGATACGATGTTTGGTTTCACGCATTGGCTTGTACCAGCCAATCTGGCAGGCACATTCAATCGATAGGTGTGCTGGTGTGCCATTGATTTCTACGTGTTGTGTCGCAAATCAGTTGGCTGCGCAGCGAGCTCTGGATTGGTTTGGCATTTCGTGCCAGCAGTTTCTTGGCATGGCAAGTGCTGTTAGCTTTCGGATGTGTATGTGTTTGTTCGCTGTATCTGCGGCTTCCACCAGTCCAACTCCCTGTACGCCTCAGGCTGCTTCGCGCTCACGGTTTGTTACCTCCTCTTGACTCCAGGGGCGGTGGGGTAAGAGCTTGCGCCTCCGCTGGCCGTGCCCGCGTCACCGCTCTGGCGCGCAGACGCCGCCATACCTTTTGTGCCCTCCGCCTGCCCCCTCCCTCGCCCTATCCTTCCATCCCTCCCTCCCTCCCTCCCCATATAGTCAACCCGCGTAATAAGGATGGGCAGCCTTCCCAAGGATGCCCTTGCATCCTTGCCCCCTCGGTCCATCCTTCGCCACGTTCGTTGGCCGCGCCCCGCTCGAAGAGCTTCGAATCGGGCGTCCGAGGCCCTTGCATCCTCATCGCGCATCCCTACTGCACGGGTTGACTGTAGTCCGCCCTCTTCCTCCCTCCCCTAAGTCTTCGGTGCTCCCTGCCGCCTTCGGAGGAACCGGCCCTCCTCCATCTCCACACCGCAGAGTGAGGCGCGTCGGGAGCATCGTGAAGCGTCACGGGCCAGTGCCGCCAACGATGCCCAGCTCGGGGCCTTTGTTTGCACTGCGACACTTGGGCGCTCATTTCCGAGGCGGGAATTTATAGATGACCACCGCCTGGAGGGCCAGTTTTCGGAGCCTCGGCAGGCGGTGAAAAAGGACATGTTCGGGCCCCCGGGGGCCGAAATGTATCCATATCCGCCGCCCGCTGGGGCACCAGGACGTCGGTTCCCAGGCGGTGGATCTGGATAAGTCCCCGCCTTGCATCATTGGCGCCGGCCGTCTCCTCCGCCTCCTCCATTTGCTGCTGCCGTCCCTCCTGCCAGTCGGAGCAAGGAGAGGCGACACCAACACCAGCATGGGTAGGTGAGGCGAGGAGCAATGGGGGAGTCTCCCTGGTGGTGTGGTCCCCCGTTCTCGTTCGAGACATCCCCAGCCTCCAGCTCGGGGAGGCATCGCGGACCTCCTCCCTGGAGGTGGCCCCCCTGGTGGGGTTGGTGTCGCTTCTCCTCCCTCCGATGCCAGCCGCCCCTTGCCCGAGACTCTCGACGGGCTGTCGCTGGACGTCGGCCCGTCCGCCGCGGCGTCGTTCGCTGGCTCCGCTCCGAGGGCGGCAGAGGCGGGCCCGCGCGGCTCTCGCCGCGTCTGCCGTCCGCCCGCGCCTCCCCCGTCTTTTCCCAGACCCCCTCGCGCCGAGGACAAACTCACATTCAGAAGGTTTTTGATGATTCTTTAGGCTTACGCCACACCGCCGACCCCTTTGTTTTTTTTGGGGGGGGTCGTGGACCTCCAAAAGGAGCCCGGGAAGGGCCAGACCCCCCTGATGAGCTCGGGCCGGACGGCCCCCCCCCCCTCCTCCAAATCGACTGGACCGGGCTCCGGGGGGAGGGGTTCGGGGGGAGGGGGAAGCATCTCACACGCCGATGATCCCCGAGGGGTCGGCGGATTTTCGTCATCCGGGGGCGCTCACTGCCAGCCATCTTGAGGGGCCAACTCTGCTCGGCGGCGGGCGAGGGTGGGGGAATGAGAAGGAGAAGGCCTTCTCAGAAGGCGGCGGGACTTCTCAGAGGCCCTCACGCCTCCTGAGATGTGTTCGGTGCCTTCTGGGGATGCTTAGAGAATTTCCCATCAGGTCAGGGAACTTCCGAGCCTTCTGAGAAAGCCCGCCCCTTCTCACTTCCCCCCTCGCTCGCCGCCGAGTCGAGGGAGGGAGGGGGAGGGGGCGGAGGAGGAGGAGGGAGGAGGAGGAGGAGGGAGGGGAGGAGGAGGAGGAGGAGGAGGAGGTGGAGGAGGAGGAGGAGGAGGAGGAGGAGGAGGAGGAGGAGGAGGAGGAGGAGGAGGAGGAGGAGGAGGAGGAGGAGGAGGAGGAGGAGGAGGAGGAGGAGGAGGAGGAGGAGGAGGAGGAGGAGGAGGAGGAGGAGGAGGAGGAGGAGGAGGAGGAGGAGGAGGAGGATGAGGAGGGAGGAGGAGGAGGAGGAGGAGGAGGAGGAGGAGGAGGAGGAGGAGGAGGAGGAGGAGGAGGAGGAGGAGGAGGAGGAGGAGGAGGAGGAGGAGGAGGAGGAGGAGAGGGAGCGCGACAGGAATCAACCGTAGCAAGTCGACTTGTCCTCCGTCCCCCGCTCGCCAAATCCTTCGACCATGGAGGAGGAGGAGGAGGAGAATGACGAGGAGGAGGAGGAGGAGGAGGAGGAGGAGGAGGAGGAGGAGGAGGAGGAGGAGGAGAACTTGCAGGACGTGACAAGTTGGTGTGTGCTGAGGCCCCTTTGGGGGGCTCTCTGGGGAGCGACTCTGGGGGCCTTGTTGAAGCTTTTTGGGCTGCCATAGGGCGTCGAAGGCTGTCTGCGGGGCCTCTCTGGGACGTCTCGGGGCGCTTTTGGGCCGTCTTGGAGGTCTCCTGGGCCGTCTTGGGGTCCTGTGTGGGCCGCCTTGGGGCGCTCTTGGGACCGTCTTTGGGCTTCTTGGGCCCCTCTCGAAACTGTCTTGTGCCATCTTGGAGCCATCATTAAGTGCCAGAAGCCGATCGGAAGCGACGCTTGGATTTCCATGAGGTGTTGGACAGATGTTGGCCTCTCGGGAGCGTCTTTGGAGACTCCGTGGCCACTTGGAGCCGTCTTGGAATGGCGCTAGGTGCCTAGCGAAAGGCGCATTGGCAGCTATCTTGAGCAATATTTGGCTACCTTGAGGGGTCTTCGTGGCGATCTTGGAGGCATCCTGGGCCACCCTGGCGCTATCTTGAGCCACCTGGGTCCGTGTAGAGGTCTTCTTGGGCCGTCTGGGGGCTTTTGTGGGCCGTCTTGGAAGGATATTGGAGACAAACTGGCATCGTTGATGGGGGTGCGCGAGCCCTCCCTCCCCCCTTGTCAAGATGAATTCAGCAGCTTGCACGCTGTAGCTTTCTGGTGATACCCGTGCTCCGTACGCTTCCCTTCAGCCCCTTGTATGCGCATGCCCGCCTAGCCATCGCCGTTTCTGGTCCGGGCTGGCTTGCCCCGCTTCCCCTCGCTCTCTCCCTCCACCATCCCGTAACAGACAGTAACACCTCCGATCTCCCAGTTTCATATCTCGTGTTGTTCAGTGACTTGTGCGGTGCAATTTGAGCCATCTGTGCGACACGCGTCGGAATGAAACGCAACATCATCGTGTCTTCCAGTGGCAGCGGACCTTTTCACGGTCCACGAGACCTCGCGACCCAATGCCAGGCGACGACGAGGAAGAAGCTGGAGATCAGCGTGGCGGAGGCGGCAGGGATCCGGAACCGCCCCCAGGTATGACGAATCGGAACCCGATGTGAAGTACAAGCGGTGTAAAAAATGAACTGGCGTTATGGAACAGCGACGTTCCACTAGCGAGGTGGGGGGCAAATCTGTCCAGGCTTCCCTCGGGCACGGCCGAGGAGGTGATCTCCGACGTGGAGCCCGACGACATCATTGGCGATGACGGCCTGGGCAAAATTTTTGACGATCCTCGACGAGGTTCTCGCCCCGTACCTGGAGCAGACGATGCCGCGTGCGTTCGAGAAGGCAGTGTGTACACGGGCTCCCGTGAGAAGGGTCGGAACATGCTGGGCAACACGCCGGCTGCGGCGAGTAGGCTCAAGGAGCTCAAGCGCGGGGGGGTCCAGCTTCCGCCTGAGGCGCGAGGCTACTTTCACGATGAGGCAGTCCGAGATAGGCGACAGGGGTGAAGCGATGATCAAGACGTGGGCTGCCTGGTCGCTTCATCGAGACCGAGGCGATCAGGGCGCTGCGCAAGCTGGACAGGGTCATTGATGGTCGACGAGAGCGACAGGCAGTTCTTCGCGGATGGCGAGGAACACCAAGGCGGCGCAGAGGAGAGCTACCCAGTCGTGGACGCAGGGGTGGACGACGACGATCCAGACCACGTCTATGTCATGGAGGACGACCCGTGGGAAGTGCACGACGAGGCAGACGTCGCGACCGCCCTGGCATCATATCAGGCTGTCCGCCAGTCTTTGAAGGTGGAGAAGAAAACCCGCGGCTGCCACAAGGGCAGTGGCAGGTTTGGCGGCAAGAAAGACGGAGCCCATTCGCCGCGCGCGGTTCGCTTTGGAGCCCGCGCGCGCTATAAGGACGGCTAGGGGCGCAAACTCAGAGTGCGCATTGATGTGACCAAGCAGAGGGCCAAGTGCGCGCGGCGTGGCCAGGCGGGCCACTGGGCCATGGAGTGCCCCGACCCACCTGGCGCTCGTTGTTCGGCAGCTGCGCCCAGCAGTGGAAGACCTAAGACCGGCTTCCTCGTCGGCGCAACGACGCGCGGCAGGCCAGGGGGGGCAGCGAAGCCGGCTGCCTCGAGCGAGTCTGCTGGCTCCGAGACGCCCGGGGGAATTCCTTGAGCGTGAGTCGAAGTGCATGTGTCACCATCATCGTGATCAATTTGGAACATCTACGCGGGGGGATCCAGATCCTGGGGGTGTTCGGAGCCATCGAGGGTGAGGTCGAGTCGGGTTTATTCCTAGCGTGCCTTTTTCAGGGTGCAGGGGCTTCTTGGGCTCGGACGAGAATGCGGGCGACGACCGACCTGTGCGAGCAAGAGTTGCGAAGCGACGCAATCCCGGCGTGGGCTTACTTTGGGGGGCGGGGGGGCCTTGGTTGACACCGCGCCCCGGTCGGGCCTGATGGGGGTGGGGGCGCCCAAGCAATTGCAGGATGCTCTGCGCGAGCGAGGGCCGTGGGCGCAGTGGATTAACATGCCAGCCCGGGTTTAGGGAAGCGGAGGTCGAGCTAAATCTGCGGGGGTTGTGCTGGTGACGCCTGGGCTCGGAGGGCCCCGCGGCCTTCTGGGGCTCGCGGTGGTGGGGGGGGGGGGGGCATTCCGATGCCACTTCCAGTCGAGACTCTGAAGTTTCGGGCCCTATCAGACTTGGATGAGACGAAGTTAATGCTAAGACAGGTGAATTCAGATATTCCATGAGAGATCGGCGCCGGACATGCGGCGCCAGCGGTTCAGCTTCGCCTCGAGGGATGGGGTGCGCCACCAGGGTTCGCGGGTTCAAGACCGGGGGATTTCATTATCGGCAGCCATCTGAGTCAAGCCGACATTCGCGACGCTGCTCAGGAGAGCTATGTTTCCAGCTATTCCAGATATTCGCGAAGTCCAGGCGTCCCTGGTCCGAGCCCGGACCCCCGCGCGGCAGGTGTGGGTGCGCATCGTCTCGGCGCTTGTGCCTTTGGTGTCGGCGCAGTCGCTTGTGGGGCCGCTCGGCGCACTGCGTCCCGGAATGCGTTTCGGCTGGGCGCGCAGCGAGGAGGAGAGCGAGCAGGAGGTATTCGTTGGCTCAGTCGGGCGCCGACGGCCTCAACGCTCGCGGGCAGCGCCGTCTGGGCCGCGAGAACGACGTCGGCCGAGACCAGGGGTCCCAGTCCGCCCGACAGCTCGGAAGGGGCCAGTGCGCTACCCTGAGAGGAAGGCGGTCAACTGCGTGCGCGACGAAGGCAACGGGGTCGAAAGTCGGGCCCAGCGGCGCTGCGCAACGGACCCAGCCATGGAGACGCACGGCGAGTACTGCCACATATTCAAGAAGGGAGTGTCAGACCATGGAGTGGGAAGTGCTGCCGGAGAATCGCAAGCGCTGGCAATGGGTCCTCGGCGATCCTTTGGATCGGTCGCGCGGCCAGTTGCCGAAGGCGGTGCCCGAGTGCCATCGGCCCTTGCATGCAGGGAAGGGCATGGGCGGCGCGATGGCGGCGACGCAGTGCACGGCCCTCGGGGCGCGCTGGAGGGAGGGGCCCATTGCGGAAGTCACTCTGGCGAAGGACAAGGCGAGGAAGCTCGAGGGGCTGGAGGAGGAGAGCTACGAGGGGGTGCCGGATAAATTTGGAGGGCGTTCGAGAGGCTGCAGGAAGGATGCTCAAACAGAGGTTGAAGAAGGGCCGAGCCAAGCCACCGAAGGAGTGCGTGGAGAGGCCAATGAACCTCAGGGGGCGCGCGGCCATGGCGAAGAGCACTCCAGCGCCGCCAGATCGGAAGCGTGGGCAGAAGGAGGATCTCATGGAGTACGACAGGGCAGATGGGGGGTGGACCTGGGACGAGCGATCGACCTGGCAGGCCGATAGCAGCAGCTGGGCGCGAGCGACGACGAGGCCACGGGCGACAGAGTTG